GTAGTGTCAACATATGCATAGTATGCTCAGATAAAGAACAGGAAAAAGGCTCGAGAGGCCTCCTTTTGAGAGGGGAGGGGGGGGAAAAGAACAGGAAGACATGGTACACTGCCTTGTTAGATGAAAAGATGCAATGGGAGACTGGGCCAGAGCATCTCAACTTTGAATTTGGTTATTCTCTTCCCCCCTTGGAACACCCTAGCCATCTTTTATTATAGACTAACATCCTTGCTGACCTCAGTAAACCCGAGCGTGTCTGGTTTGACTTGGTGCGGAAGGCGACATTGTGGGCACTCCGGAAAGAGAGATGCAGCAGCACGCTCAATGATATAAGGAACTCTAGGGAGAAGGTATGCGCAGCAACCAAAATCAAATTGAAGCAGAGATCTTATGTAAGCGGCGAAGGATCAGATTGTTACTGCAAGACAATCCTGAATCAGAGCGGAAACCGGAAAGGAAATTTCAATATACTTGGTTACCAAACAGCAAGGTGGCAATGGCTCAAAGACTACAGTCACTACACATCAAAAGGAACAACAGGCACAACTCAGAGTTGCTGTTGTTGTTGTTGTTGTTGTTGTTGTTGTTGTTGTTGTTTTGGTTGAAACAGGTCCTTATGGTCCTGGCTCCATATCCATTCTGGGGAGCGTCAGTCCGGTTCCTTTCCACCGGCAAGTCAAAAATTGAAATACATGATGAACACTCTCATGCTTCCTTCCGTCTGGCCGAAGGAACCCTGACCAGCATTGATTGCTCCATATCCGGAGGATTGACTGTCAGCTTGCCCTACCGCTTTTCCTCTCAGAATCTATTGTGACTCTGTCAGATGATTCGTGTAAAGCAAGAAAAGGGGAGAGTTGTCTATGCTGTTGAGATTAAAATCTCAGTTTGCCCATCACTGGGACACCGTCATTGTTGGAGTTACAGTGTACCATCTCTTCCAAACCAATCTGTTATCTGTCACAGTTAGTAATCTTTCCCTGTAAAAGCCAGTCTCTCATGAAAACCCGTCTCTTGATGGCTATCCTTTATGGATCTGTTATCGCAAGAAGGCCAGGATCCTATATGGACATGAGAGTCGGCGAGTGACCCATTTCGCCATTTTTGGATATCGAGTAGAATCTGACACACCAGCGGGCCTAGCTCAGTTGATACACCCATGAACTGCTGAAATGCGGACCTCAGTTCGACTCCCAACGAACTCAGATGAGTAAATAACTCTGAATTTACCTGGGCTTGGTCAGTTTGAAGACGATATCTCAAGGCCATCACCTTTTTTTTCCTATAGGAAAAAAGTAAAATCTGACAGTCAGGACAGGGTCCTTCGGCCGGACGGAAGGAAGCGTATGTGTATCGTTGTACTCTTTTGACTTGCAGGTGGAAAAGGAACCGGACTGTAACATATCAGAAAGTGAAATGCACTGAAAGCCTAGGATCTAGCAATGACGAAAGTGGCAACAACCAGCAGCATAGGTGCAACATTCACAAGGTGTCAATGTGCGCGACGCAA